GGACAGTGGCTGGGACACAGAGAAAGAAAGAAGGAGAAAAAATATAAATAAAATATATGAGTATTTTTTGAATATAGAGAACTGCATGTTTTAACATTCACTCATTTAGACACTAAACAAAAACATATTAAATGCATACAATGTGGAATACATCTTAATGAGCTCTGCAAATAAAACAGACAAGACCTATGCTCTTGTTTAGCTTGCAGTGTAGTGGCAAACAAAGGCAAAAAAGTGACAATTATAAATTAAGCTAGACAATGTAAGAAAACAGCATTCTGTGATGACATAAGAGAATTTGATGTTTACTGGGCACAGGGAAGATTTCCCTGAGGAAGAGATGGCTACACCGAGAAATGAAGGAGGGGAAGGAAGCAAGTAAGAAAAGCGGGAAAAAAAGCATTCTAGCCAGTCTACAGCATGTGCTCAAGCTCTATTGCAATCTGCTTCTAGCCAAGACAAAGTAACAGGTACTGACTTTTCTTCTTACCTGAAACAACCAAAAACAAAACAGACAAAATGCACTAAACAATCATGTTCAGGACTGTGGATTTTGGGAAATAAAGACAATGCTTCCTGAAAAACTAAAAACAAAGGAAGGAAGCCTTACAAATGTCCCAGCACCATGACTTGAAAGAGTTTCCAGGCCATGATGCAAGAAGGAAAAACTGAGACAGAATCTGCCAGACTCCCTGAGTTGCCATGATGAAGCTAACAGTCTGGTTAAGCCAATGAGACAGAGATCACTAAACAGAAAACTGGAGAGGAGAGAGCAGCACAGGAAACGAATCCTGGAGATCTGTAGAGATCGCCTCTCGAGTATACGGAAGAGTAATGAACAGTGCATGCATGCTAGGAAACTACCAAGGAACAAGGGAAACATATCTAAAAACAAAAATGGAGGAAACCATGCCTGGTGCTCACGTAATGCCAGGAAGAGTGTTCATTCCCATGGGCCAGGCTATAAAAAAATAATAATTCAGAAGACAATGAATAATCAAAAAGGTCTTGCCTAAGGAGTGGAGAATTAGCCCAAGTCAGAAAAGCAAGACCAGAAAGGATCAAGCTGTTTATAAGTAACTCAACTGTATCCCCAAATAAGGCTCAAGGGGGTAAAGTACAGGCATGGAAGACACTGTATAAAAAATAAATTGCACTTGTAGAGATGCATATCAGAAATCAATTGTATTTCTCTCTATATTTATATGT